AAAAGGAATAGTCCCGCACATGAGAAAAATATTTGCACCCACGGTGTGTCAGAGCTGCTAGGTATCGGTTAAGGGATGCTTGTTTCCACAAGGTCTTTAGTACAGATCTGCCTTGAGGGTCTATATAAAATTAATAATAAGGGGAAATTGCTACTTTATTGTGTCTTCGTTGAAAAACCACCTGCCACTTCCAACTAAAAATCTCTTTATATAACTGGGTTTAAGAAAGTAAGGACCACAGTAGATGCAGATGGGCTCCTAGCTGATTCTGACATATTAAAACTGACTGCCTTGTCCTAATTCTCAGAGATTAGCCTTGGTAATGACTGTCTGTCAGGGTGGTTTTATATAGCCGACATCAGAGGCCTGCCAGTGCCCAAGGCTTTAAAATAGTAATTCTGTTTTGTAATGCAGTGGCTGTCAGATCAAGTACACTGGGGATTTCCATCTACACTTGAAAATTGTATTTTCTACATTTTTTTATCAAGGCTTCTGAAGTGAACCCTGCAAGACTGTAAAAGGATGGCTTGTGGGCCAAGCGACCTCATTTCCATTCGGTAAAGGGAACATTTCACAGACAGTTAAATTGCGAATGAACATCTGAATTAACTTCGTCTTCTATTCTTTGACTCCCTCCGGTTTAATGCCTTACTGAGTAAAGGCAGCTGAATCAAGCTACGGGCTTTTATGGCTACTGGAAATAGCTGGCAGGAGATTTTTTTTTTCATTTTTTCTTTAAGTATGACTACATTTGTTCAAATCTGAGGAAATGTTTTCTTATGAGATAAAACATCAGACAGACTTGCCCTACTTTTATTTGTCTTTTTTTTTGAAAAAATGTTTCCCAGGTTAGCTGCATGTGCTGAAATTCTTAAATGTGAACCTATGTGTATGAAATACAGGAAGATACACCAATTTTTTATCCTAATCAAGGTCCCAAAGTTGTTATGTGTTGACAAACAATAATGATGGAAATATTAGTTGCCATTATTCTAATTACTACTTTTGATGCTCCTATCAATAGCAAACAAAAAAAAAAAATACAGACACAGAGTTTGAATGTAAAATTGTTACTCCCTTTCCCTCCCTCCTCAAATAGGTTTTCATAAAAGATCTGAAAATATCAGCTGGAAATAAATTTATCATCAGCTGAAAATAAACTTATCAGCTGAGTGACAGGATTGGAATGATGGGTAACCTGAAGTTAATGACAGATTTCACTTTACTTCCAAGAAACCAAGATTCCCCCAATATTTGTATTCATGTTTCTTTCTGGCTGTGCCCAGGCCTGGTTTATGGAGCATTTTTAATTTTCTGTTCCAGCAGCTGGAAAAATTCCTGCTACGTGCAGGACCGGAGCCAGTCTAGCGTGAACTGCTTGAAAATACCAGTGCAGCATCCGTTCCTCTGTGAATGGCTGCGCAGCCTGAATTTCAGGAATTAGTTCCCAGGGCATTCCCAGAGGCTCCAAAATGCCTGTTTGATTCAGCAGAGGAAGGATTTGCCTGAGCACTTTAGAAAAAGCTGTAGGCTATAGCTTTTCCCTTCTGTTCTACAAAAGGAAACAAGGAGGAAAGAAGTCTGCCAAGACTTGCCACACGGCACATGGAGGTACTGGAAGACACTGGGGTGTGTGGTTTGGCTGGCTCTCTGAGACATACATCTGGGAGCCAGGGAAAACCCTGGGATTCCTCCTATGCCGGATATTCAGCTGAACCCATTTAGTCTCATCTTTCTTTTTGTTATTTCCTTAGGGCCTGAGGGAGTTTATGAACTAGAAGTTGGACTAGGGAAAATGAGAAACGTGTGAGCTGCCCAGTGTAATACTGCTGCTGTGACAGACTAACAATCTCTGGGCAGGAGATGGAAAGCCCTATAAATCATTTTGACTTCCCAGAGGGTTTCACCTGAGCCTCCTGCTCAGCTTCTCCAGATACAGACCATGATCCTGACATGTCAACAGCCCAAACAAGCCGTGTGTGTTGCTTGGCTTTATTTACTGCCTTCACAGTGCCATGGATGTGCGTGATGCTTCACAAGCTGTATGACAACAAGGACTGAAATCCTGTGTGCGCCCTGTAGAAACTGAGGAGAACTTTAACACCGATGCCAGCAGCTCAGGACAAAATCTGCCCGTGTCCCTGCCCTGGGCTGGCACTAAGGAGGCCAAGCTGCTGGATAAATAATCTAGGAGGGTGGGCAAAGCTGCCTGAGGATTGCAGGCTGCTGATCAGCAGCTTTCTGGCCCCTGCTGTCAGAGCTGTGAGCCAGCAATTAGCTCCAGGGCCGGGGCAGGGGATGACCTGGAGGATTTGAGGTCTCCGTCACTCCACACAGGTCCTGGCTCAGGGACTGGCCTCGCTGGCTGCTCCTCCCTGTCTCTGCAGCACCCATCACCAGCCTCCGCTGCAAGAGGAGAGGGGAAGGCAAGGAAATACTCATGAGAAGCATTCGAGGGAGTTCCAGCTGCAGAGCCTGCTGTGCACACAAGCACTCCATGGTAGGAGCTCTGCCCAGCCCCAGCAGCATCTTCTGCCCAATGAGTCAGGAAGGTAGGATCTCACTGCAAGGTACAAGAGGAAAAAAAACTCCGCTGGTTTCCTTAAACCCAAGCAGAAAACTCAGAAAGCCATCTAGGACAACAGGCTGTATAACCACTGCAGTGGCCCAAGTACAGCCCTTCCAGCCATGAATGCCACAGAAAGCACAACATGGCTGGAAAAAAAACTCACACACCCCTGTTAGCTAGCTTCTTGTTCAATGTGCTACATATTTAGTTTCATTCTGATTAATTCAAGCCAACACAGCTCAAAAAACCCAATGAAGCCTTAAATGAGAAAGAACCGGCTTGAGCCAACTAGGACTTGGCATGGCGGAGGACAGCTAGAGAGACACTGGAGACAGGGAGCAGGACTGTGCCAGACCAGAGCTTCAATGTCAAATTTATCGCAGTTTGCTGGCTCTGGCTCTGAACCAGTACTGCCACAGTCACAAGTAAAGCGGGGCCTGACTGCTGCATCTGCTGCAAATGACAATGACAGCAGCTTCCCCTTGGATAGGTGACTAGGATTAAGAATGGACAGAATAAATACATGAGCAATGCCTTCAAAGTGATGGTTAAAATAAAAATATTGATCCGAGCGCCTCTTTTACAAGAGTTTCAATCGAGGTCAGTGGCTACAGGCAGCCATTTCCACTTTCCTCCTTTTCTTTCATTACCTTGATTGTAGCAGGTCCATTCAAAATCATTTTGATTTCACAGGATGTATGTGGGCAGCCAGAGTAAATGACCACGCAGTGAAGAGTGTCTGAAGAAGCTGCAGTACCTTTTGTTAGTACAGGGATTTTTTGTGGGTGCTTCTTCCTCTTGAGGGCAGAATTAAGGTCACTCTAACAGACACAGCACAGCCTTCCAGCTCCTAAAAAGCTGAAGACTTGTCGTGGCAATGAAGCTCAGATGCCTGTGCTGGATGTCCAGACTCTCTACACAAAGAAAAGGAGGTGCCTCTGAAGAGCAGTTTGGGATGAATAGCAATTTGGGATGCACTGAGATGCTATCCCCTCCTGAATGATGAGCAGAGAGCCCAGTTACCTCCCGATGGCATTTCCAAGCCCCCACAAGCCAAGCTGCATAAAGCCACTGGGCAGGAAGCAGAGAGCGCAGGGGTGCAGCTAACCTCAGTGCTGAGTGCTGGTGGCTCTCCTGGGTGAGACCTGCTTCTTTGGACAATAAGGCAAAGATTCAAGCATTTGCACTGTCATTAAGGGCATCTGGACTCCAGGTCCTCATCAGACTACAGTGGAGTTTAAATGTGCTCCTCCAAGTGCCCAGGAAAGGGGCCCCATCCATTAAATTAGGAAGCAGCCTGCAACATGTTTTCTGTTGCATTTGAGTCCCTATGCAATCACAAGGACAAAAGCTGAGAGAGAGAGAGAGAGAGCGAGCGAGCAAGAGTCCTGAAACAAGGACACAGGCAGTGTCCTGCAAAAGGGGAGACTTGGGTTCCTAAGTCCTTAGTCAGGCCATTGGTAGGCACAGTACCCAAGGAGCCTGTGGCTCCAGGTACATAAGCACCCTCTGGAAATGACCTCACCAGCTAGCAACAGTCTCCTCTTGCTCATTTTTCTGCCAGCTTCACAAGTCTCAGGTTCCTCTCTGCTTCAAAGGCCAGCAGAAATCTGGATTAGTGCTGGCAGGAGCTCTGCGCTAGTGCAAGGCTTTGTGTTCCCTCAGGCAGAGGAGGATCAAGGACTGGGTTCTCTGTCTTCTACACGGATGATTGTACCGGTAGGCTGGAAAAATGACAGAAAAGACTTAGTGTCTGTCCACCCTCTTCATCCATGAACCAAATGATCCTGCACTACTGCCTGCTCGTGGTAGGTGAGATCAGTCCACAGCCACCAGATCAGGACCTTTCAGGGACTTTGAGGAAGGCTCCAGGGCACCTACCCAGAACCTCATTTTGATGCAGCCAGGGAGGTGGAGGGACTGTCCCATGCTGTGGGGTGTTCCTCATTGTGTGCTGGAGCTAGATGTTATGGGAACTCTAATCAAATGGAGGCATCTTCACACTTCAAACACCTCCAAAGTCAGGCAGTGATGGGTTGTGTACAGCCTGAACAGCATCATGTGTTTGTGGGTATCGAGTCCACCAAACGCAGGTAGTTTAAGTTCACCTGGTGACAACAACGTGAACAGCAGGTACAGATAATGACAGAGGTGGGATGTCTAAAGTCATGTCCTATCCATCTCATGTCCTCTCTCCTCTTTGTGCACTGGCTTAACCTCAGAAAAGTAGTTGCAATGCTCAGTTGCACTCTCAAACTGACTGTAAGTTTGAGTTCAGAAATGCATTCTGGTATCCTGACTATGGCCTGTAATGATATCAAGAGAGGTGTATATGAAAAGACCAAACATATGTAATTTTTTCACCCAGGATCTCCTTCTAGCTGTTCATGGCTTAGGAACTTCTGAAATCTAATGAAAAGTTAATTTAAAGCTGAGCGGCCATAGAGGAAAAAGATAGGAGTCCTGTAACTACTCCAATCAAATCTTTAAAGAATATTTTCTGTCTTTTACTACTTCACCTTCCGTAAAAATTATACATCTTCATTAATAAACTGTATATCTCTGTAGTATTCTTGGCTGAAATGAAAACTTCCAAGATGTTACTTCTCCTCTAAGATGCCTCTACCCACCAGTTTTGCTTTTAAAAATTCATTTCTCCTTTTCCAGAGCTTTTAGAGAGTTGTGAGCAATGGTATATAGCAGCTATTAGTACAAAACCAATCTGCTGTGTAGAAAAGCAATCACTTTCTGACTGTAGATGTCATCATCACCTGCAGAATGGTCTTCTTGTCAAGACTGGTCCTGATTTTTGAAAATCCTCAAAAAAATTAAACCATTCATGGCATTTCCACAACCTCATAGAGGCTGCAGAGTCCTGCACAGTGTAATCACTCTCTGTGCTTCTCATATTTAGGACGTTTCCCCCAAGAGCAAGAGATTTCTTCCAGCAGTGGCTGAATGATGCACTTGATACATCTCTACCTACTTCACACCCTGCCCTTTGAGATGCTCTGCGTGAGGTAGATGACAAAATAACAGAACGAAGCTCTGAATTTATCTGCAGTCATTTTGATGTGTTTCTCTTCCAGATATGTGCATTGCCACAGCAATATCTCTTCTTATGATTCTGATCTGTGCAATGGCTACGTACGGCGCATATAAGGTAATTCATTATATTCAGTGAAGGCATGAATCAAGTGATCTGTACAACTCTAGAAACGAAATTAAGAAAAGTGCTTTCTAACAACTTCTTGTTTAGTTGTTTAGCTGAAAACTGAAAGGGGAAAAAAAAAGTCTAAGAGGCAGTAGAACTGGTTACTTAGACCAGTGGTATGCCAGGGCTCCGTGCTGCCAGCAGGAAGACTGCCCGGTTGTGTTGACTATCTGCAGTTTCCAATATGAGTAAGCTCTGGGCAAACTGTGAATTCAGATAACTGAATCTTGTACTACCAATGTTAAGGGAATTTTTTCCCCATTCACCTGCAAAGCCTGTGGTTTGTCCCAGTATTAGTCCTACTAATTAGGGGGAAAAAGAATATCATTTAGTTTCTAAATGTCCTAGCATAATGAGTTGTGGGACCAACACCACACATATTACCACAGTTCAGGAGCCAAACTGGCTTGGACAACCCTTTTGTCTGAATGTCATATTTCTTTTAGGTGATTTAACATTGCTTTTTGTCAAATATTCCTTAGATTTTAGTGCAGAAAGATGTATATCCTTCTATTTTAACTTGTAGCTGACGAGTTTTTATTTTATTTCCTTTTTAGCAACATGCAGCTTGGATCATCCCTTTCTTCTGTTACCAGATCTTTGACTTTGCTCTCAACACGTTGGTTGCCATCAGTGTACTCGTCTATCCCAGCACAATCCAGGACTACCTCCGCCAGCTGGTAAATCACTTGATGTTCACAAGCCTTTGGGGCTTTGTGGGGGAAAACACTGTGCAAGGTGCACTGTTTGTCCTGTATTTCTAGCCAACAGTTTCCTGTTGACTTCCTATGCAGTCCTTGAAAAGTCCTCTCAGTCCTTGCTAGTCTGCATTAAACATCCTTGCAAGGTTGCATTACTAACTTATTGCAGTATTTGTGCAGAGCTTTGGAGTTTTGCGATGTCGTGGAAGCTCTCAGCACCACTTCATTTAGAATGAGACTCATATTGCAAGACATAGATAATAAGTAATTGCTTTTGGATTCAGAGTCATTGTGTTCATATCCAGCAGCTTATTTCTGGTGCTGTCTCAAGGATGTTTTGTTGCTCCTTTTAATTTATTTGGTGGCTTTAACACAGATTTCATTATGCATTGGTTTGATTCAATGTAGGTTTGTTTTTGATAGAAAATATTTTTGGATTCTGTCTTGGGGACAACTAGAGCCTCCCTTCTTGCCGTGGTCTGCTTTGGCCAAATATCCATAGCCAGCATTGCATAAGCTTACAAGATATGGTTCCAGCCTCCTAAAGACCAGCCCAGCAGGCTGTTTCTCAGCGCAGAACCATGTGCCATGTCCGGTAGGGTTCAGGTGGAGTTGCAGAGCTCTGGAGAAGCCAACACTGCAGCTGGCTCTGAAAATCTGCCTTGAGAACCTGAATATAGATTAGCTTGTCTGTGAACTTTGTTATGTGGATGGAAAACTAGCTAGGGCACTATAAATAACAGGTAATGAGAAACAGCAGGCAGATAAGTAGCCACACAAATCTGCAGGAAGAGGCAATGTGTCAAGCCAGCGAGAGTTGGGATGCGTCAGGGGGCTGTTATCCTTCACCTCATTTAACACCCGCCTGCGTTCGCAGCTGATGCTACGCTGGAAGAGAAGCAGAGGAATAACTGAAAAGGTTCTCAGAGATATGAGTGGAAAAGACCAAATTACGGCTATAGCTTGGTGGGTGCTGGAAGCTGGCACTGGCGCTGGCTGGAGCCCTCCTGCCCATCCTTCTCCGGCAGTCCTTCACCGCAGCACCGGTGCCAGCCCTGCTCTTGTGGCAGCACAAGCGTCTGTGTGGCTGCAGGAACTCCCCCTCACCTTCCCAGAGCAGGAGTTGTAACCAGGTTTTGCTCAGTCTTGGTCACTGTGCGAGAATGTGAAGGGGACAGGAGCCGGCTGGGAGCTGTGCACCAAAGAGACTCTGCTCTTCTGCTGGTGCCACAGCTGGAGCCAGTTCACCAGAAGGGCAAAGAGCAGCTGATTCTCTCCAAATGTCTGCTAAAACATCCCTGTCGTTCCTGCAGGTGGGAAAATAATAGTCCCTTCTGCAGCAGAAGCAGAGAGCAGGCCTTGGAAGGTGTTGGGAACAGTGCAGCAGAGCAGCTCTGGAGCGTTAAAACCTCTGCACACATCTTTGTCTTGCTGTTGTAAATCATTTTCCGGACTGGTAATGAAATGCCCCAAGGTTTCAGGAGTGCTAAACTGTCAGTGCTCAAAAGGGCAAGGGGGATTTCCAGGATGATTATAGGCTGATTAGCCTGACATCGCTACCAAGCAGAATAACAGAAGAAGTGCTGAGATGAGAGTCAATTGATAAAGGATTAGCAGAGAGGAATATGATTAACGACTGCCAGCACAGTTTCACGGAAAGTCAGTCCTGCAGGCAAACTCATTTTCTTCCACTGACAAGATTACTGGCTTTGTCAATAAAGACAGGCAGGGGCATAATAGGCTTTTGTAAGACATTCGACTTCGTAGCATGATGCTCAGAGCAACAATGAAACACTAGATCGATAAAGGATGTATCAAAGGGATTAGGTGGGGTTAGCTGGCAGCCTGCAAAGGGTCGTGGTCAAGCTGACCATCTGCCAGTGGGTTTCTGCTTTGGGTAGAGGAAGGTTTCCAGGAATCCGCAGTAGATTTCGTGCTCTTCCTGACTTCCATTAATAGCTTTGGTACCCAAGAGGCCACTCACACAGGCCAATGTCAGCCTTGGGAAAGCTTGTCCCAGCTCACTGTCTAGAGGGATTGGGTCCTCCAGTGGGAAGCTGAGAGCAGGAGCCTAATCCAGCTATTCTGTGAAAGAACCTATGGCCCAAAGTGAGCACATCTCTGCATTTCCCAGAGGCAGTACTTGTGCCTTTTCCTGGCAAAATCGCTTTTGTTAAAGCCTGGCACTGTCACAGGGATTAATGAAGAAGTAAATAACTCTAAGGAGAGAACCTTTAATCAGCGTGAGCTAGACTGACAAGAACCTGCGTCCAGTCATTAATGTGTGTTACATTGCTAAATGCAAAAACAAGTTAAAAAAATGAGGAATATAAATGAGCATACAGTATGACAACTGTACCTGGGATGCAGTGACCCTGTAAGCAGTCCAGGGAATTAAATGCCAAAACAAAAGTCCCCAGGTTTTTTTGCTGTTCCCAAAAACTTCTCATGGGATTTGTGGACAGAAAAAAACAGCAAAGAATAGTAATGGAGAGGAGACATCCCTTCTCAGTCGGTGACATAGGTTTTGTCTGCCTGCTTCTCAGTGTAAAGAACAATGCTTAAAGCTGGAAAACATGCAGAAAAGTTGCTCCAAAAACTATGTAAAAGCTGGATAAATTGTAGTATGATGAGAGACAATCAGCTTTTCCTGCTTCATTTACCAAGAAAGGAGATCAAGAGGCGATGCTGTTAGAGTTTCCATATACAGAATAATGAGGCATTACAAGGTTGTTTAAATTAGATGAGAGGCATAATGGTAATGAGTAGCTAAAAGTTAGTCCAAGTTAAGTTCATTTAGAAACAAGGAGTTGTTTCTCTTTTATCATTCGCAGTGGAGATTAGTGATTGGCAAAAACTACAAAGAGCTGTTTTGAAGCTGTTCTGCATCAGCTTTGAATCTTTTTATGCCTCCTCTGTCTTAGCTGTGGTCCCAACCACAAGTGGCTCAGCAGGAGCCCCTCGTACCCTTACCTGGAAGTGCCACATCAGTTGACAAAAGGTTGTTGCATTTGGTTCAGAGCAAATACCCTCTCTCTGAGGTGGAAAGAGCAAATGTGAGAGGTAAAGATCACATCCAGTGCTATCAGATACTCAGACAAACAAAAAGATGAAACTAAAAATAAGCTTTTGAATTTTTTAGCAATAATGCCATCAGTGCAGTGCTTGTGCTCAAATATTGTCTCTACCCATGGCTTCTACCCATGGACTTCTTTCCCCACTTTTTAGTAACACTAATGGTTTGTCATCTCAAACACCACATTTAGAACAAGATTGCAGTTGTCACCCTTGTCCCTATAGGTGAGACCTGACTCATGTCAGTTGGGTGTTATAAGTAAGCCCTAGAGTAGTCGTGCCCTCACCACCTTTGCAGAAAGCAAGGGAGGGGTTGTGTTTCTTCCTAGCATCCTTACAGGTTTTGGTCCTCTAAAACTGCTTTGATTTTGGGGAATGATATTTTGGGAGCACAGCTCCATCAGGGAAATGAAAAATCCCAATCGTTCTTCAAACCCACTATTGAGCATCTGGACGAAGGTAGGCACTAGGTAATGGAATATATTTGGCAGTCTCAGAAGAACATTTTTTTATTGCTCTAAGGTGAAAACCCCATGTTTTCAGCCATTTCTACTTCCCAGCTCTAGTAAGTGGAATTATGTTACCTATTCAGTTCAGTGCAGATCTGTCAGATTTCAGTCTATCAGTGGTGACTTACAAGCTACCATGAAACCCTCCATGTACGTTTAGGAAGATGATAAATACATACCTATCAACAGGCTAGGCAGAGCCCTAGCTGAAAATGGTGCAATTGTAAAATACAGAACACACTGTTCACAGGCTATTTGGTAATGTCAGCCCACACTGGCTGCTTCTTTCAGAGGCACAAGCATGTTTGGGAAGTTCTTCTTGTCTTTTAATATGCAGTTGCACACAGGTGTGCCACTTAATTCCCATAAATTGCAAAAGCATCTCAGCATGAAGGGTCATGTAAAATAAGTAGATGTTACCAATCTAGCATTTGAAATGTTGCATGGTGAGCACATGTGATAAAACTTTCTAAGGGTTGTGTTTTACATTTTGGTCATTATCACTGTTGCTAGAAAAAAAAAAAAAAAAAAAACAACCTTCACATATAGTAAATCCAGCATGTGTAAAATAAAGATAATTTTGGTCCTTGGAGCAATAGTGGTATGAAGCAATTTGACCTAAAGCACACTTCTTTTCTTTACCCCACACTAAATCTTTGATAGATGGGCTTTCTAAAGTCTTCAAATTAAACACTTCATCTTCTGTCATCTGATAACAGTATACAAAATGAATTGAAGCAGAGGTACAGAACAGGCTAGTCTGCAACTGAGTTATGCAAACTTATTTTTTTTATTAAAGTACAAGAGTATTACAACTCATCTAAAGAGAATTTCAAAGCATATTAAATAGTTTTACTATGGGACCACCTGCAATGCTCCTAACAATTCAGGTGGTATCAGTTATACCTTTAAATCCTGGGGAAATGTCTAGAGAATGTAAAAGAGATTAAGCCTGAAGAAATCATTACTCTAAACGAAAGTGTAAAAAAGGACTATTCTTTCTGACATTTTTAATGCTGTTTTATAATTCCAAAGAAGTACCACAAACTTCATAGCAGAGCTTTAGAAATTCTACAGACACCTTATTGTTTTCTTTCAATTTTGTAAGATTCTGATACCCGGAGGATTGTAACTATTGAATGAGAATCCACATCATCTTTTAAAGTGGATTTTTTGTGGTCCAAGGGAAAGGAAAACATGAAAGGTTATGCAAGCAGCCTGAGGGAATGAGAAAGGGCTTCAGCCTTGGACTTTTAATTCTTCTTGTGCATTTGTACAATGTTGATGCAGTAGAAATACACTTTTCATGCAAGTTTTAGATTCTTTCTAAGTGTTTAATAGATCTTTGCTGTGCATAAGCAGTAATTTTTTTTAATATTATGACTTTACTGTGCTGGTGCCACACCACTACAACTGCCTCTTGTTTGTATAGAAAATTTCATCATGCCCTGCTGCAAAATCACTCCTGTGTTTCTAGCA